CATCATTTTATCTGGCCCATGAGTGGGAGACACCTTCAAGAAAACCGTCTCCTAATGAGAGGAACCCAGGAGTCAGGGAGTGGAGGGGGGGGGGGGGGGTGGGGAACGGGAGGCTGGGGCATGGCTGGAAGAGGGCCTGGGGGATCAGGGGCTGGAGATCAGAGGCAAAGGCATGGCCGGGATGGGGGGGCAAGGAGAATCCCAGGCCCATCCCGCATTTCACTGGAGAGACAGCCTGCAGCTGCCGACACCTCCAAAGCTGCGTTGCCAGGGAAACGGCATCTGCAGCAGGCCCGCCCCTCATGAATTACTCATCAGCACCACTGGTCGCTCCCCCATTACCCACAGCCTAAGCAGGACCCACCTCCCCTTTCCATCTTTCCCAGGGACCCTGGAGCCCATGCCCCTTGTCTCCCATCTGGGAAGGGCTGAGCTCTTTTAGCTCCTCAGATGCTCACAACCTCCTTGATAGTGCACCTGCTACTAACCCCTTGTTCAGAGAAGAAAACTGAAGGCTGGGGAGGGAAGCCACTGGCTGAGCTAGGGCTAAAGTGATTTTTAAATACATGGGGCCACTTGCCAGTGGGCTGATGAATTTGGGGTGTGGAGCTGGCATCTGTGGTTGTGCCTTCCACCTTGTCCTAAGTCATCCTCTTGTGTTCTCTAAGCGCTTGTGACATGGGACCCCAAGCGGGCTGTAGACCTCACTGTAAACCAGACCCCACAATCCTTTGTGCGGCCACCTGCCCACTGTCCACTCAGCCCCTCTTCTCAAGGCAGATCCTGTGCAGCGACTGGCTGATGTCCAGACTCAGCGAGAGACCCAGCACATGCTAGGCAGGGGGAAGAAAGTGTTTTAGAAGCTGGAGCTGTGGCTTCACCTGGTGTGGGGGATGGGGGGGCCTCAGATGCCAACTAAGGAGTGATGGGGTGCTGTGTGTTGAGTGGGAGTGGAACACGGGGAGAGGAGGCTGAGATGGGAGACATAATGGGGGGCATGTAAGTAAGGTGAGGAATTTGAATATTCTCTGAATACTGGGGACCCATAAGAAGGTTTGGGACAGGGGGTGGTGAAATCTGGTGTTCAAGTTTTCAGAGCCCCCTCGGCTTGTGTTGAGTTGGGGGGGATGTGACTGCAGTAGGCAGCCAGGTGAGCAATGATGAAGGGCTGGTGGGCAGAGGCATGAGGGTGGAGAGAAGCAGATGGAGCTGAGAAAGGGAGTGTGTGGCACAGGCACCCTAGCCTCAGAGCTTCATCTCTATAAAGCCCCCTCCTGGAGCATTTTGCCCTTTCTGGGGCTGGTGGGCAAATCCCAGGGCCTCACAGCTCTCTCATCTGGGGGCTGAGGTTGGGAGAAGCAAGAGGCACCCTCATAAACTGAGCACCACCCCCACCAGTCCCATAACAGTTCTGCCCTATCCCCTCCCCTGCCCAGATCAGCTGCTGCCCCTACCCTCAGGCTCCTAAGCCTGGACTGCCCTCTGCCTGTGGAGTCCCGGTTATCTCTCCAGTGACCGGTTAGGCAGGAAGATAAGGTTCCAAGTGGAGGCCAGAGGCCAAAGCTTTGGAACAGAGAAAGAGGAGGAGGAATGCATGATCCTCCCCCAGCCCTCCTGCGGGGGCAACAGAGCTGTCACAAGATGAAGATAGAGGAATGAGCCATATTCTGCCTGCCTGCCTGCCTGCCTGTGCTGGGTCTTTGTTGCTGCTCGTGGGCTTTCTCTAGTTGCGGCGAGCGGGGCTACTCTTCGTGGAGGTGTGTGGGCTTCTCATTGCGGTGGCTTCTCGTTGCACGTGGATTTCAGTAGTTGTGGCTCGCGGGCTCTAGAGCTCAGGCTCAGTAGTTGTGGCACATGGGCTTAGTTGCTCTGCGGCATGTGGGATCTTCCCGGACCAGGACTCGAACCTGTGTCCCCTGCACTGGCAGGCGGATTCTTAACCACTGCACCACCAGGGAAGCCACGCCACATTCTTAAAGTGCCTTCGACATTCTTTCTCGGGAGCTGGGCCGGCCTGTCCTGGGGGCGCTCTTCATCTGGCCCCACCATGAGGTCTGTTTCCCCACCCGGTCCTTCAACCTCCTGCAGCATCAGCTGCAGACAACCTGGAAGTTGAATCTGGCTCTGCTCGCTGGGGTGACAAGGCATGTCACCTTGCCCTAAGCCTCCATCTTCCCCATCCGTGTGGGACCCTGAAGTATCTTTCTGACCAAGTTTTTCAGCCTCGCTCTCTCTGCCTCTCTTCTGTCCCTTGAACCTGCCAAGTTCATTTCCACCACAGGGCCTCGGCCCTCACTGTTCTTGCCACCTAGATCACGTCCCACAGCACTCCAGGCCAGCTCCTCCAGGAAGCCCTCCCTGACTCCCCATCGCATAGCAATGCTTGCTTCCCACTTCCACCCCTCCTGCTGCCTGGCCTGGTCACACTGCACAATTGGCTAGAAGGTTGTGGTCTCCTGCTAACAGAATCAAAAAAAGGAACCTCAGGATTCATCCCAACAAACCTCTGCCCATCTGTAGGTCTCCCTCTGCTTTGCTCACACCCCATCCGTGGCTCTGGAGACAGACACCAAGGGTAGAAGCCTCAGTTTTCCAACTTGCTTCCTACATGACTCTGGGCAAACCATTTTATTTATCTGAGTTGTTATATGTTCTTCCAACTCTTCTGGGCCTGGTCCTTTTATGATAATAATAATAATGATAATAATTATCCTAATAACAATTATTATTATCATTACACTCTAGGGTGTGCTGAGCTGGGGGCAAGTGCAGTTCCCCAGCAGGAAGGGGTCCTGGCTATGGGAAGTTGGCATCAGGCTATAGACCCTGCCCAGCTGCTCCAGCCCCTGATTCTGGAGTGAAGAACGTCTTCCAGTCCTCAATGCCAGCCAGCTCTTCCTCTCTGTAGCCACCAAGCCCAGACCAAGGCCAGCTTGGGCCCTGCTCTTAGAAGGGCCCAACACTTGGTTTAGTGCTCTGCCATCACCATCTTAAAACTCTTAATAATTATTGATCAAGGGGCCCCACATTTGCATTTTGCACTGGACGTTGAAAATTAGCCTGTCCTGCCTTCTCTTTTGCAAGGCTCAGAGAGATGAGACGGACCTCAGTCACTCACTGAGCTGGGGGTTGAGTTTCACCTCAAGCACTTTGGCTCCATTTCTCCGGCCACAATTACTGAATTTTATCACTGTCCCTGAAAGAGGGATCACCAATGAGTCTCATAGCTGCAGGCGCCACATCCACCTCCCCATGTGAGCCATCAAACTCTGCTGCCTTGGACTTCCCTGGTGGCGCCGTGGTTAAGAATCTGCTTGCCAATGCAGGGGACACGGGTTCGTGCCCTGGTCCGGGAAGATCCCACATGCCGCGGAGCAACTAAGCCCATGCGCCACAACTACTGAAGCCCCCCGCGCCTAGAGCCCGTGCTAGGCAACAAGAGAAGCCACCACAATGAGAAGCCTGCATGCCGCAATGAAGAGTAGCCCCTGCTCGCCGCAACTAGAGAAAGTCCGCGCCCAGCAACGAACACCCAACGTGGCCAAAAAAACAAAAGCAAAACAAAACAAAACTCTGCTGCCTTGGACTTCCCTGGGGGCGCCGTGGGTAAGAATCTGCGTGCCAATGCAGGGGACACGGGTTCGTGCCCTGGTCCGGGAAGATCCCACATGCCGCGGAGCAACTAAGCCCATGCGCCACAACTACTGAAGCCCCCCGCGCCTAGAGCCCGTGCTAGGCAACAAGAGAAGCCACCACAATGAGAAGCCTGCATGCCGCAATGAAGAGTAGCCCCTGCTCGCCGCAACTAGAGAAAGTCCGCGCCCAGCAACGAACACCCAACGTGGCCAAAAAAACAAAAGCAAAACAAAACAAAACTCTGCTGCCTTTAAAACCCACCTCCCCACAGGCACCCCCA